ACGGCTGCGTGCTTCTTTGGTCCTTAGCATGATACTTGTCTGGTGTGCGCAACAGGCGGCCTGAGTATGATCCTGTAGCTTGTCCGAAAAATCCTACCAAGGAACAGTGGATACACTGTGAGTCTTCTATATCGCTCTCACTTTCCTAACCTTGGCTGTGAACTCAAGACAAAACGTGACCTCAGAAATAATTTTCAGTTTTAGTTCAAACCGGCCGTTCGGTTGCTGAGATAATAATAATAATAATGTTTATGTTGTGGGCGGCATACCGTCTGGCATGAGCATATGTTTACGGTCAGAATGAAGCATGACTGGGGGATTTGTGGGGGTGCGGATTGCGAAAAATTAGGACTATGTCATTTACAGTGGGGGACACCCGATGATATAGTAGTAATAGGTTATTTCCCAACTTGTTAGGAAAAATGGGCATCAGGTCCGACCAGATCAAAGACAGTGCGGTGGCATGAACTAAACCTGAACCATTTCTGGCCATGAGTGACCTCGGGTGGTTAGGTAAATGGCCGGAGTCACAACGAGCAAAAGTGGAGATAGAGATATGATAATTCGAATTGGGAGCACATGGCGAGTTTTGTCTCAAAAATGTGGTTTAATCTGAAAGTAAGCAGACTCACTGGTTGCACTGTTGTAGAGAAGTCAGGTGCAGGGGGCGGGTTGGATGGGGGCAAATTGCTAATACATAGGGCGACCTGAACTTCGTATACGGATTTGAAATTGTTCAACAGGCAAGCCGAAATTGCAGCAAAAAAGCCAGGCTAGCCAAATCTGAGCGAAATTTCATTGGGCACGGAAGAGCTCATCCCAGAGACGCGGCCGGATGAGAACTGCTCGAGGTTGTGGCTACAGGCTTGAGTGGGCGAGGAGTTGTGGTCGAGATTCTGGAGAAAATAGTTGCAGGAGTGCCATCTCACCGGGTGTGACAGTGCCATGCCATCATCGCACTGACATGCTTCGGTTCATGCACAACCCTGTAACGGTCGTCAAAGGACGGAGAAGGGATGCGCAGTTCCGTGGTGAGACGTCGGTTCTGGGTGAGGCGGTGGTTGACACAGGGAGTCATGCAGATGTAGGCTCACGGATAATTTCCCTTTTGTTAGAGGACCGTGTGAGTGTAGACCGGGCACCAGCCAGTTTGAATGAATAACAGTTCTAAGGGGCGTTTGGGCAACTGCGGTCGAGGATTGAGGCTTGGGACGAGGGGCGAAGAGAAGGAAATAGAATGAAAGCAGTAGGCATAAGATACAAGGGCGTCGATAGAAAAAATCTAAAAAGGGATGACAGCAAGCTAAATGGACCCAAGAAATGTGGATACGTTTGCTGATCGAGAAGCGAAGTACTAGTTGGGCCAGAGTAAGTGTCTAGTTTTAGGAAGGTGAAAACTTTGTCGTCGAGGTATCTAGCAGGGGGCTAGCTGTTGGACTAGTTGAAAACGGACGGTATTTTTTGCTCACCAAAGCGTCATGACATCGGATCCCTGTTGTGCAGAAAGAGGGGTTAATGTCAGCAGTGACAGTGGACAAGTGAAAAGCGGAAAGGTAACGGCTTCCCAGATAAGCGGTAAGAATCGTAGCCTAACTGAGGTCTACTGCGTCAACCCAACAGGTAAGTTAGATTAAGGATCACCAGTCGCCGAGTCAATGCTGTCAACTCCAGAAAACGAATGGTGCATGGCATAAAACAGCCATTAAGTGCTAGCTGTGACTGCTTGCAATCAGGAAATGATAAGTTATTAGCATTTTTCCGTATGATCGCTGCGAATGACAAGAGGGTAGAACGTGTGTGCTATGTTTGGGTGATGATGTAGACTTGGGGTGGTGTGACCCCACCAATACGAAAGTGGCAACCCCTTGCACTTCGACGTTAGCCGTGAGCCTTACAGGTGCTCTCAGTTTACCCCATGCATCAATGTATTTTAATATCCTTTTCTTATTTTTTTAGAACAAACTTGAGGAACGTTGTCTTTCGTTTGTATTTCCTGGTGTTGTGGGACAGGTGACAACCGGAACAATGCTAATTCAGCTGCAGACAAACGGCAACGCTGCTCTTTTTCGTTTTCCCGAATTAAAGGCCAGGCTCAGAAAGGTGACAACACAATGCTAATTCAGCTGCAGACAAACGGCAACGCTGCTCTTTTTCGTCTTCCCGAATTAAAGGCCAGGCTCAGAACCACCCACCATGGTCGATACAACCGTGTCTACAGACTGAGAAGAAAATAATGATGCGTGATGCTTCGCAGCTGCTCGGGAAGACTGTTCCGGATGCGAGCGTAATAAACCAGATGGAAGTATTGGCGTAAGTTCGTACGAGCTGGGGGACACACTAAGAGGTTGCAAGAGTTGCGGAGTCTGTAGCGAGGTTGGGTTTATTCTTGGTAAGAGATTCAAGATAAGGGGAGGTGGCAGGGTACACTGAGGATGTTAGTGGTAAAGTCAAACCCTCTGAAAGGAGTAGGTCCCAACGATGTTGAGCAGGAATCCTCTGTGTTCGTTGTAGTTGAAGAGGGTTTGGAATAGTAAGCCGAGATACAACTAAAGGTCGTGGCTTTGGAGGGGGCGGAGGCTGTGGTGGAGTAGGTAGTTGCCGAAAAGGGATCCCAGGCTTATGATACGCGGGTCTCTTGAGGGGCTGAACTTGACAGGGGCTAGGATTACGTAACGGTATTTGCGGTTTAGAGATCCTGTCAAAGAAATGGGTTGCACGGTTAGATGGGCTACGGATTATCTTATGAGGGAGTATTGGTTCGGGCAGGTGTGTAGAAGAAGGGCGAAAAGAAGAAGCTCGGGAAGTTGGTGCAGGAGAAGGGGTTACGGTGGGAGGCTTGGACAGTAGGTGATTGAGTCCAAGGAAGCGCTTTGGTGGGGAGGCAAGAAGTGTCGTTAGGTCAGGAGGTCTTGAGAAAGAACCTGTGCTACCATCCTCGACTACAGCCTCATGTGTGAGCTGATTAGTTACCGTATCTCTTAAATAAGCAGTCGATCTTTTTGGCATGGTGGATGTCACAGACAGCATTTGTGGGTGCCCAGAAATAGAAGTGGAAGGCTCATGGTTATGAGCGCGGGGTGCAGGACCTGGTTTCAACAGGCAGCGTTGTGTGGCGTTTTGACACAAGACGGCTCACTTACTGGTGGTTGGCGGAGCAACAGGTTTAGGTAAATTTTTGGTAAGCCGTTCTTGCATTCTAGTACGGACAGCCATAATTTTTAAGGTATGAAATTTTCAGTAGAGCAGAGGAGAATCTGAGCTGCGCGGCATTTTTTCCATCCCGGAATTGCATTATTATCGAGCATCACATGAACGCTTCCGACCTCCGGAACCACCGAGCTCTGCATATGGTGTCCTGCATGCCACATGCAGTCAGGTAGCAGTTTTGGCATGCTCAAGCAGAACCGA